CTTCCTTCAGTAGCCATTTATTTCTTCCTAATTCATCAAAACAACCGAGTGTTACATCTTGATCCCTTAGCTGGTTACAAGTGTAAAATGGGGAGCGAGCAGGCAAAGTCCTTTCCTTTATATCCAGTGGGAATGACACCAACACATCAGGAAACAAATCAGTGGTTTCACCTCCAGTGCAGGGAGGGGTGGATCAGCCACCTGAGCGGAAGGTCTGGGTGTTCCCAGCACTGACTGATTGTTACTGCAGGTAATTTGGTTCTAGAGAACAAATAAATTAATTCTCCATTTGGTGTTATTTTCTATACCACAGTCTCTCTCTCTGAACTGGGGATGCCTAAGGGAAGAACTACCAATGTTTGCTTTAGGGATCCCTCTAGGATGGAGGAGAGGTAATGGCTGCAGACAGACCTGGAGTGACTCTCATCGTCTGTGTGGCTCTGCTTTAGTGACTATATCTCCCTGTGCCTTGGTTTTCTCTCAATGCAGTACGATGAACATTTGACTGCCAGGGTGTCAGTGCATTAACAATAAAATGTTCACAGTATCTGACTAAACATTGGCACAGGGGAGCTGCTCAAATGAGGGACATCTGTTATTGATCAACTCCAAGAGAGAATCTCATGGGCTGATCCCTGGTGGATGAGGACCTGCCAGGGGCATCTTTCCTCCTTTTTGTTCCCTGTGATTTTGACCTTTCTCTGGACTCTCCTAAATGTTTCAGTGTAGTTCACAAATGGTCTGGACATCTTGTCCATCTGTGCTAGCCACACACAGTCTCCGGTGAAGCACCACCCCTATCCAGATGTGGCTCATGGGGCTGAACTCTGGCTTCTGAGCAGCTCAAAAGCCTTGTGACTCAGATACCTGGGAAAGCATTGCGTTCACTCCGCCCTTCCCAGGAGGTTAACCCCAACCTGACACAGGATCCCCAGGGTCCCTGGAGTCAGAAACCCTGGGGCAGGGGTCTGGGCGGGGCTGCCAAAGCTGAGCTTCTTGATAATGATTGCAGGAGGCTCCTCAGGATGGGCCCTGGCCGAGACCTGCAGGATCTTTCTCAGGGTCATGGTCATGTGGTGGGGCCAAGGGAACTAGACTGAGATTGGTCTCTCTCTGCTGAGCAACTCCCATCAGACTGGCCCTTCGCTCGGTGGTGAATGGCTGCAGGGCTGGATTCTGAGAAGGGAACTCTGATCTTAGAAAGTTTGTCTCCACTGTGTGTGTCCTGCATTAAATGCCCAAACCCAAACTGGGAGATGATGCAGAGGGCGATAGAGGCAGAGTCCAGAGCTGTCAGTCCTGTGTGTTCACCCACCCAACACCCAGAGATCAGAGAGAAATCACTCACCATATACATTGAGCCGTCCAAATCCTATTTCTTTTTTATAGCCTGGAAGGTAGACTACTACGGTATAGATTCCTGTGTCCTTCAGGGTGACCCTCTTTAACTGCAAGGATCCATCATAGTTTATTTGCTCTCGACCGCTGGATGCAGGCCCTGTTCTACCTGTTCGGAACATTCCAAGATTTGCAATATTATGGTCGTAGTTTGCCCCTTCCCCCCTGTACCACATGAAGCCTGTAACACTGGGAGGCATATTGCGGATACGTAGAATCACATCCTGTCCTTCGGCAGCATTGGTTGACACAATAGCGAGTTGGGCAGTGGTGGGCAGGATCCAGAAATTTAAGAGTGAAACTAGGAGGGAAGAGAGAAATTGATCAATATTTGGATGTATATGTCGGGATGGAAAGATGAGGCCCTGGATTTGGAACAGGTCTCTTCATCTGAGCCTTGGTGTGTGTGTGCGAGTGTGTGTGTGTGAGTGTGGTCAAAGTCAACAGCATGACCAACAATACTTCAGCACCTGTGAACCTGTTACTTTTTCTGTTTCTCAGTCTCTTTTCCAGGTGTCTGTTCAGCTCACCCACTCACTGCCCTCAGACCCCTGCTGACACTTAGGGGTGTCCATGGGACGCACATTCATGGAACACTTCCCTAAAGACTCTCTGTTAATTACTTTCTGACCTGTCACTGCTCTGTTGTTCTTTTGTTAACACTTGTGGGTATGTGACATCACATTAGATATTTTCTTATCTCTCTCCACCCACAGAACGTGAGCTCCATGGGGATAGGGACTTGTCAGATCTTGCATCCCCAGTGCCTGCAACAGGCTGCAAATAACTGTGGGTGAATGAATGTTCCCAGAGTCCTGCACCTCTTGGGGTGTATTTCCCCTGAGGCTGGTGGTAAGGACGGTGATTAGCACCTGATGGCACCTGACATAAATTGTTATTATTACGGTCACTTTCCAAAATCAAATACTCAGTGATGAATAACTTAGGAATTAACAGCAACTGAAGTTTCCCTACCCCACACCACTTCCAGATCATGAGATTTCCCAGTTACCTGTTACCCATCTCCCTTACCCATCCTACTCTGCCCCCCTGTCCTCTCCCCTCAGGTCCACACAGAAGCCCTCCCTCCACTCTCAGAGCGCTGTTCTCGCTAGGAGACCCCAGCAAGTCCCTGTTTTTCCTGCTTCAGTCCACTCCCAGGTATTGTTCCTTCCTTACCGGCCAACAGGACCCCTTGCCAGGGGATAGGTCCTCTGCGGATAGGGGCTGAGAGTGACTCCATGGTGTCTGCTGCCTGCCCTGTCCCTCCCTCTGTGAGAAGAGCTTGTATTCCAGGAAAGCTCAAAGGCACCGCTGTACAAACTGTTGAGATCTGCTGTCCCTCTTCACTGTGCACTAGGCTTCCTCTGGGTGCAAGATGACTTTCCTGCTCATGCGGACCAGGGTGGAGTTTGTGCCAAGGACCCACCTCCTCCTCCCCTCATTTTTGCCACCCTTTCCCCTCCTTCCAGCTTACCATCCCTCTAAATGTTGCTTCCCTTGGAGCTGCTGAGGTATCTGAACACACACACACACTCACATGCTCTGTTTGGAAAAACACCAGCCAGGTGCATCCAGGTCATGGGCATTTCCCATGGCTCCCAGTCAGGTGCACAGTAGCCTCCCACACAGCCCTCTCTCTTTCACATTTGACTTTTCCCTTCAGAGCAGGAGTTCTGGGGCCACCTCAGGAACTCTTGTCACAGGGATGTCACCACCGCTATGCATAAAATCACCTGTGAAACTTATAAAGATTGTGATGCCCAGGTGACAACATAGATGCTGCTTCAGCAGCTGTCCAGCTAATGTGGATGCCCAAGCAGAATGAGATCTGGTGATGTGGTGATGGGACACCCCTCCCCCTCTCCTGTGCACAGAGAGGGTCTCCACATCCTGTTAAAATGCAGATTCTGACTCTGCAGGTATGCGGTGGATGAGAGACTCTGAATCTGATGAGGTCTCAGGGAAGGTGGGTCTTACTGGCCTGTGGAGCCCACTTGCAACAGCAAGGCTGATGGGGCCACGTGTCCCCTGACAGGATGACCCTCTCACCCCAGCATTGTCCTCTGCTATTTCTTGGTCTTGGGTCTGTCAGCACCACACAGAAAGCCCCACAGGCCCCAAACTGGGGATTATTTCTGTTTGTGACACAGAAACCCAGCTGGGCACCGGGTCTGCCTCCTGTTCTCAAATGTGCTGCGAAGGTTGGATTTCCTCCCAGAAGGAATGCCGCAGAGGTGACTGGGGGTGAGAAGGGGTCAAGCTGGGTGACGACTACAGAGGGGACCCTCACTCTATCTCAGGTTGTCACCAGCCTGGCCTTTGCTTCCAGGGATAGAGATCCAGGACCAGGAGTCTCAGAAGACCCTGCAGTTCCTGGGCGTGAAGAGGAAGGTGTCCTGCATGTCCTGGCAAGAGAGGACTGTGGTGGTAGCTCAGGTGGCTGTGGGCTCCCTGGTCGTCAGGGGTAGTTTCTGGGAGACCCTCCCTCTCTGTTGCCTGAGCCTGCCCTGGTCCTCCCTGAACTTGGGGCGGTGTCTGTCCTCTGCTGGGGGAGTTCATTACCCCACCTTGTTCATGGATGGTGCCAGGCATGGGATGGGGAGCAGCAAATAGAGCCCTGAGAAAGCAGGTACTCTTGGGCCTATTAAAGTAAGAAACTTTCCAACCTGTGAAAATTTTCATGAGTTTATTTGAACCAAGCTAACGTCATATGCCAGGAAGAAGATCTCAAATCTTACCTTGGCTGTTGTGCAAGTTATTTTATACATTATAATAAAAAAAGGAAATGGAGTAAGTTGTGTGAAATCCATTAGGAAGTGAAGAAATCTCTAGAATTGATAAATACCAAAATGGAGAAACAGTTTTGTTTTGTTTTTACTTTGGTGGGTCCAGGATAATTAACATTTACAGCACATAGAGAGGTTGTGCAAGGAACCAGGTAACCTAAGAAGTATGTTGTCTCATATGCTGGTCCCAGAGTCTGTGCCTTCAAATCGTCTTGCAAAAGAACAACTACTCTGATGTATCAAAGGTATGTGACTCTGGGCAAGTGATCTCACCTCAAAAAGCCTAAGTTTCCTTATGTGATTTCATAGAAAGATATTTCCTGGTTCTTAGAATAGAGCAGTTTAAATTCTTGAAATTTTCTGAGTGATATGGGCAATAAGAGTGTCTTTT